TCCTGCATTGAAAGTGTCCATGTGTGAGAGGATGTGTTGTACGGTGTTATAGATGGTTGACTGATAAGAAAAAGTGGCAAAGACGCGTGCAGCATGGAAACAATATTATTTCACGTATGTTTGTCATTTCACCCAGGGAAATTGAATTGTTTCATTTACGTTTACTCCTTTTACACGTTAAGGGTGTAATGTCTTTTGCAGACTGTAGATCATACAATGGTGTTGTTTATAATTCATTTATTGAAGCGTGTCATGCTCGCGGTATTGCTTCAAATGATAATGAGTGGCGTGAGTGTTTGAACGAAGCAAAACAATTTCATTCACCTAAACAATTGCGTCATTTGTTTGCGGTAATTCTTGCTTTGAATGTGCCAGCAAATTCATTGCTTCTCTGGAATGAATTTAAAACGTTTTTGAGCGAAGATTTTTCAAGAGATTATTCGGCTGATATTTCATTTAATCGTGCTTTACTTGAAATTGAAGAAGTGTTGATTTCACATAATGTATCGTGTGAGGCTCTTGGTTTGCCTGTTCCTACTATATTATCTGACGTACCGGATGAAGATGTGATGGACCCGTACGAACAACAAGTTATATTTGATGATTTGTATGATCAGGCAAATATTGAGCAACGTAATGTTATTAACACTGTTGTTCGTGAAGTTCAGTTTCACGACACTGGGTCTAATGTATTTTTGCTCACAGCACATGCAGGTTGTGGTAAAACTTTTACGCAAACTGCTATTATTCATAGATTAAATGCTCTTAATCTTCGTTGTCTTCCGACTGCTTTTAGTGGTATTGCTTCTACACTTTTGGCGGGTGGTAGAACTTTGCACAATGCATTTAAATTACCTATTCCAATTACTGAAACATCTGTGTCCAGTGTTACACCTAATAGCGTTTATGGTCGGTATTTAAATTCATTGGCACTGATAATTATTGATGAAATATCAATGTGTCCATTGTTATTATTGAAGCTTTTGGACCGTTTATTCAAGGATTTGTGTACCGATGAAAACAAAAAGCATTTATTATTCGGTGGAAAAACGTTTTTGTTATGTGGAGATTTTCGGCAAATTTTGCCTGTGATTCCGCATGGGTCACGAGCCACTTTGATCGATAATTGCATAACAAGTTGGGACGAGTTTGAAAATTTTCATCGTTTCACTCTGAACCAAAACATGAGAGCTTCTCCGAATGAAATTGAATATGTCAATTTTTTGAAACGGCTTGGGAATGGTGAATTGAGACACTATCGTCAATTTGGTGAAAATATTGTTGAAATCCCACTACAATGTGTGGGGAATATTAATGATATAATTGATGAAGTGTATGGAAATATTGCGCAGAATATTTTGTCCGACCGTATTCTCTTTTCCGTTATTTTAGCCACAACTAATGATGATTGTGTTGCAATTAATAACGATGTATTGAATCGTATGCCTGGTGTGTTAAAGACATATAACAGTTACGATAAAGTGATATGCGATAACGAGTTGGAAGTTAACAATTATCCTGTTGAATTTTTAAATTCACTTAATGTGAGTGGTTTACCACCACATAAGTTGAAATTGAAAATTGATTGTGTCGTATTACTTATTCGTAATTTGAATACCAAAGAGGCATTGGTAAATGGCACACGTATGCGAGTCAAACAACTTCATAATAATGCCATTGATTGTGAAGTTTTAACCGGCACTTCGAAGGGAAAGCGTATTTTGATTCCACGTATAAACTTGACATATTCTGGAACACTCTTGCCATTTGATTTTCAAAGAACACAATTTCCGGTTATACCTGCATTCGCAATGACGATCAATAAATCGCAGGGGCAAACGTTCGATAGGGTTGGTGTTTTATTACGTCGCCCAGTCTTTACTCATGGACAACTTTATGTTGCCGCAAGTCGCGTGAAGTCATTTGATTGTTTGAAATTTTATATCGAGGCTGGAAGTGTGCAAGGACAATTAGCGAATGATGAGCGTTACTTTACTCAAAATTTTGTATTTACTGAAATTTTGCGTAAATAGTTTTTTATTTGCTATTAAAAGTGTAATTACTTTCAATTTAGTGTAATTATTTTCATAAGAGTATGTCAAGTATTTCTTTTTATCATTAAGTTTTGTAGGTTATTGTTTCTTTAATATATATTTTCATGTTTTCATTGTCTTTGTTGTTTGTGAAACTTCATTGCCTTATATCTCTCTTTCTCTGCTTATCAAGAATCAATTGTTGGCAAAAAAGCCGCCGAGAAGGCCGAGCAAAAGCGTAAAGCTGAAGCTGCTTTTTCCGCTATGGATCAAATTGAAGAAATGCGTGCTGGAATGGTTGCCAGAGAGTTAAATAATGCCGAGTATGCACGTAGAGCTCAGGCTGCTTTGGCTGCTATGGATAAAATTGAAGCAAGTCAAGATGAAGCTATTGCTCGCGCTTCTGTTGTTGCTGCCGAAGCCGAAAAGAAGCAAGAAAATTTGTTGCAACAAATGGCGCAATTGCGGTCTGCAGAAGGGGCTATTACGAAAGCAATTATAGAAAGGGTGGGAAAATTGTGTGACGAGCGAGATCAATTGCGTCGAGAATGCCAAGAATTAAAAGCCAATCGGGATGGACGTTTGCCCAATTTTTTCCGGGAGCAATTCCCTGGGGAATGTAAGTCTTCTTAAATATATTATTGCGAAATGATTTTGTTAATTTTATTGTTCATTTTCAGTGGGTCAAGGTGCTGATGCACCTGTGCGCGAAAAGCCTATCGTGCAGTTGATTGAAGAATTGGTTTATAACTTGAATTCCGACCAAAAATTCGTTTTGCGCAATATAAACGAATATTTCGTCAAATTGATCAATAAAAATCAGTCGTTGGAAGCAAAGGTGAAAGTAAACGAAGCAAAGTTACGATTGGCGGGTTCTGTCAGCTCTGATGCTGGTAATTTGTGGTGTGATTAAATTAAATTATTTCATTCATTTTTAATTATTTACTTTAATTGTATTTCAGATGTCGCAGGACCAAGTGGAAGTGTTAAACAAGCAGTTGAAGTGTCTGTAAATGACCAACGTATGTTTTGCATTGAATATTTTTTTTGTATTGTTTTAACTCTTTTTTTATCTGTTTTAGAAGAAGGTGAAGGAACGGGTGGTGGTGCTGTTCAGTGTGTAGACGTTACTGGGGATAGTCCGCTTTTCGATTGCTACGAGTATGACGACAACGTTGGCAATCCATACCATTATATTGATAACATTATTCGTATCGTCGGTAGTTTTCAGGCCGGTGGTTGCGACCTTGAAACTTTGAAAGGTTTGTTATATCATATTTGTTCGTATTATATATTGAATTGAATATTGAACATTGAACATTTTCAAATTTCTAATTCGTTATTGAATTTCTTCTATAGGTACATACTCGGCTGTTTATGGAACGGTCATGAATATTGAATCATTGGTGATAGCAATGATTCGCGGCTTTATTTTCTCCAATGATGCAACTGAAAAGTTGACGACCACTGATGCTTATTACGATAACAATGTCGAAATTATGAAGCATAACTAAAAAAATGTCATTTTGGCTAATTTTTCAATTTTTTTTATTATCATGCAATTAATCAACATTGTTCAGTATTAATTGATTTATATTAACCAAAGTTTATCAGAAAACCAAAAATTTTTATCATACAATTAATCAGCATTGTTCTGTGTTAATTGATTTGTTTTACAGCAAACAATTCAAACATGATTAATAAATTTTTCATTAACATTTTTGTATTCATATTGGTTTTGTTTTCTGTGTTTCAGTTGCAAAATATGTCTGTGGTGAAGAAGAAAATAACTAAACAATATTATTGTACTTTGGATTTTTGCAATTTTTATGGGGGCGATCTTCATGATTGGGCAAGGCATTTTGATGTTTCACATTGTTCTGAAATTCCGAAGTCCGAAGTGTGTGGTTGTGATTTGAAGGTTTTGTTGCTCGATCAAATCATGAAGCACATGTTTGAAAAGCATACTGATTACTTTTATATGTGTGTTTGTGGTGAACAATTCCAACGTGATTACCAAATGGCGTTGGAACATACCAAGACATGTCCGCACTCTTCGCATCGTTGCGATGTGTGTGGATATGGTCCTTGCCAATGTTCAGACGATGATTTTTTTGTACCTTCACCGTAATCAAGAAGTAGAATCATTTTCGTATATAAATAAATTCAAATTTTATTGAATTTTAAATCGATTGTTTCTGTGGTTAATTTTTAACGGAATTTTTTTGTGAAAGTTCGATGGAAGGGTCATTGGTTATCGCTTTGGTTTGTATTGTTTTTATGGAAATTTTTGATGAGTTTGGTGGAAGTGTTTATGTGTGGTCAAATTTTGACCACTGGCGAACCTAGTATACATTAACACATCGTTCAGTACAGTCAGACGTAGTCAGCTGGTT